AGTATGTGTTCTTGCTGTGGTGGAGTTCTATGCAAATTTAAACTTTGATGGGAAAGTAGTCAAGAGTAAAGTAGGGGGCTTTGAAATGGAGTTTGATGCTGAGGAGCTGGGAATGCTTCTGAATATCTCATCCTTAGGATTTGACAATTACTTGAAGAAAATATTACCAGCCATAGACAATGATATTTACACTGGAATTATGGTCACAAGGATATTCTCCCAAAAGTTTGAACTAGATGCTCCCCAGAAAGTGTACAAGACTGATATGACTCCCTTCCACAAATTATTGTTTCATTTTGTCAAATCCTGCATTCTTCAAAGGTCTGAGAGAAGGCATGAAGCTACTCTGTTGGACATAGCTGTGATGGAGCTTCTTGACACTAGTATACCTATAAATCTTCCTAGCCTGATGATTCAGCACATGGCAAGAGTTCCACACACCTCTAAACCCAAGCATGCAATGCCTTATGGTTTCATGTTGACTGGGTTGTTTGACAACTCAACATTGCCTTACCTGAGCTTAATTTGGAAACCACAATGACGTTATGGATGATATTATCCTCAAGAAGTGTGGGTATGAGGAGATCAAGGCTATAGGACCCACAGGATCTGCTATTCTCCCTGGGAGCAGAGGGTTGCAGAGCTCAGCAAGAGGTTGGAGTTGGTTGTTGAAGAGAATGCCAAGCTTCATGAAGACAATAATAAGCTGAGAAAGGAAACAATGCAACTCAGGGAAGAGCTCAGAAGAGATAGGGAGGCTCATTCCCAACAGATTGCCACCCTTATGAAAGTCTTGACACCCTCTGCTTCTCATCCATGAACTTGTTCCTTCCCAGTGTCCTTAGTTCTTTTTCTATTCTAGCGTTGCCTTATCTTTTTTCTTTTTTGTCTTAGTCTGAGTAGCTTGTAGTATTCTTAGTTTATTTTGTTCTAATGATGAAGACAAGGTCCTAGGCTTCTTTTGGCACTACTTAATGTCTCATTTTGCTCTGCTTTACTGCTTTGTACTATATTGGATCATCAGCCTAGTCTATTTTCTTTGATATTTCTTAAGCTTGTGTTGTAGCCTGTTTGGCCTTGAATCTTACACTATTTGTGCTTAATGTCTAACATTGTTTTGTGTTTTCAATTATGCCAAAAGGGGGAATATAAGGTTGGAAGGTTGTGGGTTGTGAACATACATGTCTGTCAATAGTAGTTGTCATCTGTTGTGATTATCTGGTTCTTTGATATGATTACTTGGTTCTGTTGTGTACAAAGTTTATCGTCATCAAAAGGGGAGAATGTGTTGAGTATTGATGTTTTGATGATTAACAAAGTATGACTAAATGTTCAAAGAATCAGGTCCTCAACGTAACTGCTTAATTGTTCTGAAGAACCAGCTCCTCAGGAGAAAGGATCAGCTTCTCATGTTGATACTTGTACGTCTGTACAAGACAGAAACTATATCTCAAAGTTACCCAGGTCTGAGTTTGGTAGAAGAAGGCTGCTATAAGTTATAAAGGTCGTTGCTCAAGAAGATATGGACAAATCAGTCAGAGACAAAAGTCTCAAATCTTGTGGAATCCTTGGAACAGTAGGAGTCCTATCAAAGGGGAAGCTGACTATGAATAGGGCTCCTAGAAGATCTCAAGTTAAAACGTTCCTAGAAGATCTCAAGTTGAAACGTTTAAATATGATCGACTTTGGACTTCTGAACCATCCTTTTACACATCAACAAAAGAGTCATAAGTCGTTTACTCGAGTCGAGTACTTGTATTGTATTCTTCCTAAGTCAGTCTAGTAAATGTGTTTTTGGAAATTGAGTTGTAATCAAGTGTCATAAACAATTAGTGAGTTTGAGTGAATGTTTTATTTTACAAGTTAGAGTAACTTGTAAATCAAATAGGAGTAGTAGGAGTACTGGAGAGTATTTAATTACAGTCTTGTAATTGATACATTTTGGCTCATTGTTCTAGTGGAGTTGGAGTTGAAAATCATACGTGGTAGGTCGTGATTTTTGCACCTTTTGAGCCGGGTGATTTTCCACGTAAAAATCGTTGTGGTCATTTTGTTGCTTATTTACTTTACGCTTAAGGAACACGATAAAGAACCAAGTTCTTTAGTAATCCATACGGGCACTCAAACTAACAAGGTTAATCTTGTTACAAATGAAATAAGTAAATATTTGACAATGAAGATGAATCTATAGCACACTTGTTCTTCGCGGCCTGTAACGTAATTACTCTGCAATATTCTGGAAAAAACTTCTTAGGTCGCAGGGAGGTTAAAGACAAGCTAAGCAATGGGATGACATCAAGAACAGGAATGGGCAGGCAAATATGCTAAAGCTGAGATTATTAAAAGGAAATCAAAGATCATTTCAAGGAAAGTGAGAAGTGTTGAGACTCTAGCTAAGTAAAATAATTGTCCAAGATGTTCATTGTCGAGGGGGGTAAAAGAAGAAGATTGCTGAATGTTTGCAGAAATGAAGTTTTATCCTTAACAATACCATTGTCTGATTTATGGATAGGAGCAGATAGGAGAATGGAAGCTTAGCAGTTCTTTGAAGTTGGTCTTGTTGATCAACTTTAGGCTTTTTGTTTTTTTATGATTGTACATATTTTTCCTTGGTAATAATATTTTTACTTAAAGTCACCATCTTCTAATTTTTCCTGATAAAAACAATCTGACTTACTGACTCTTGAAGGAAAGCATATCCAACCTAGCAGCTTGAAATGCATAATCCAAATGGTGACGAATTTAATATTAGATAAAGTGTTTATTGGTAACGGAAAAGAGGATCATTATTACATGAGTAATTTTTATTTACTGAACATATAATTTTGTATAGTATCAAGTCAAAAAATATCTTTAGCTCACAGTTTATAAAAAGTAAAACAAGTAATTGAAAAGTATAGTATATTATTTGGTAAAGTAGATTAAATTACATTTATAGTGGAAAATTCCCCCGTTAGTCAATATAAGTTATTCCCTATTTATAATTATTATTTTATAAGCTTCCAAAATTATGAAACAAAAAAAAGACACCGATAACTAATTAAACTAAGCTTGTCAAAAAAAAAAAAAACTAAGCTTGTCATATATCCATAATTCTTTGTAAGTAGGTATTGGAATTACTTGGTAGTGGTTTGTGTAGGGTTTGAGTCCAACTAACAACCCTTCTCTCTTCTATCTTTCCTAATTCAAAATTCTAGGATCCACTCACATCACAAAATTGTTTTTAAAAAAACAAAGAAATTAAAGTTCATCCCAATACAAGCTCGAGCTAAATAATAGTCAAACATCTACCGCCAAGGGTTGCCGTAAGAACAGGGACAGTGGTTCCTTAAAGCAAGTAAAGCAACTGTTTTAGGTCTCATATTTGTGGGGCTCCATTTTTTGTTATACCTAATAAGTTTTATATATAAGTTTTAAAAAAAAGATCTGTGAAGTAAAAATATTTGATTTCTTTCTTTAACAAATATAGAAAAAAAAGAATTTGCAACTACTATGATTCCTGCCAAGGAAATCGCATTTAAAATGAATATCGAACCCGAATTTTGTAAGAAATGTATGAATATATATATATAGGAAGAAACAATTTAATGAGAATGTTGATAATGAAATCTTAAAATCTCTCAAAGAGTCATTTAAAGTTGATTATTTTTTATTCCTAGTAGACAAGGCTATTTTTTCACTTCAAAATAGATTTGAACAATTTGAAGCATATGAAAATATTTTGATTTTCTATTTAACGGTAAAAGATTGAGATCACTAGAAGATAAAAATTTGAAAAAATATTGTCATAATCTTGAATGTTCCTTAAAGGATAATAATCAATCCGATATTGATGGTTTAGATTTATTTTTTAAATTAAAAGTGTTAAGGAAAATAATACAATTAGAAGATAACAATTTAATTAATATACTTAATCAAACAAAAAAAATTTGATTCTTGCCTATATTTTATTTTATTTTTCAAAAAATTTCAGGGAAATCGCAGTCGCGCGCACTAGGTAACCTGCTCACTGTGCAATAGCTCGCAAATCACACAAAAAATATAAATCGCACTAGACAAACCGGGTGCGAAGAGCTCTGATTGAGGGGGCTGCTAGTGAGGGGAATGGATCCTAGGTCTCTCACGTGGGAAACCACTCACCCAACCCTTGCGGGCTCCAAATGATTAGGCAAACCGGGTGCGAAAAGATCTGACTGAGGAGGCTGCTAGTGAGGGGAATGGATCCTAGGTCTCCCACGTGGGAAACCGCTCACCCAACCAACTCACCCAACCCTTGCGGGCTCCAAATGCTTATAGTGCTTATAGAATAATGTTAATAACTCATGTTATCGTTGCTTCAGTGGAAAGAAGCTTTTCAAAATTAAACTTGATAAAATCTTACCTATGACGAGCGCAAAACACAACACAAAATTATTGCTCGCTAGTCAAAGATAGTATAATTTAATTATAGTCTCCACATGGATTGAATTTAAACAGTGTTCAACTAATCTTCAGACGATTACTATCTAAAAAAATTAACACTTGATTTGATAATTATCAACTACGATTAACTACTAAAAATTACAATTGATCACAAAAGACAGCAGATGTGCAACGAAGAAATATTAATAAGAGAAATAAGGGTAATTAAC